GCCTGTCCGCCAGTCCTCTGAGCTCCAGTCCAGCCAGGGATACACAACGAGGCTAGGAGAAGGGCAGATGCCACCTCCAGACCTGGCCGCTGTTCACTTGAGCAGAGCACAGTCCCTGGTTAACATTTGCTTTCTTAGTAAATCTTCAAAAGCTGGCTTATGAGGTAGGACTTTTATTATTTTAAGTCCAGAGGAAAGTCAACTGCCCAATGCCACACAGCAAGCAAGTAGCTTAACTGGGATTTGATCTTAGATTGGCAGACTAAGGAGCCCAGAACCTTGACTGCTCAGCACCAACTCCACTGTCCGTGAGGTGGGTCACAGCCCTTCCTCTTTCCATTTTCCAATTGGGGGTCAAACGTTTATTTTTGGGAGAGCCGCAGGCACTGCAGGGTCCTTGAGAAATAAGAGGGCACAGGCGCCAGAAGTTCACTGGGAGGGTCCCTAGATCTGGTGCCTGGGAGGAGGAGGCGGTGTAGGTGCAGGTGCAAGGGCATCTGGGCCACCTGGGAAGGACTCAGGTGGAGGCGTTTGAGGAGAGCTTCATCCAGGACCTGGGGTGGGAAAGACGGCAGCCCATCTGAACTCCAGCCAGAGGAGCACCCAGCTCTGATGGGCCTCCCTGGTCTGCAGTGAGGAGCACCCAGTTCTGATGGGCCTCCCTGGTCTGCAGTGAGGAGCACCCAGTTCTGATGGGCCTCCCTGGTCTGCAGTGAGGAGCACCCAGCTCTGATGGGCCTCCCTGGTCTGCAGTGAGGAGCACCCAGCTCTGATGGGCCTCCCTGGTCTGCAGTGAGGAGCACCCAGCTCTGATGGGCCTCCCTGACCTACAGTGAGGAGCACCCAGCTCTGATGGGCCTCCCTGGTCTGCAGTGAGGAGCACCAGCTCTGATGGGCCTTCCTGGTCTACTGCAACTGCAGTCATTTTCTCTACAGTCAGGGAGAGTATTCTCTCTGCACAGAGCTGAATTACATTTCAGCCTCTTTTGTGTTTACTGAAGCCATATGATTAAGCCTTTGGTCAATGGGATGTGAGGAAAAGTACACAGACCTGGCCCTCAAAGCCATGATTCACGAAAACTTCATCTCCCCTTCTGGCCAGAAAGCAATAGTCCTTGTCTCCAAGTGGCTGCCTAGAGCCAAGCCCACTCCTACCGCACGCCCATTCGCTGGACTTAACCCAAAGAAGAAATGATACACAAACACTCAGGATGGTGGACTTCAGGGCCTGTTAGAGATCAGCTACCCCCTTGCTGAGCTCATGGACAGAAGGAAGCCTGAGGGAATATGGCATTGTCTGAGCCACACAGCTCCACAGGGACACAGAAGACAAGCCAGTCCCCCGCAAGTGGAGCGGGCATAGGGACCTGAGGACTTACCTGTCTCTGGGGTTTGGTGGTCGTGGCCGGCCACAGAAAGCGCTGGCCCAGAACAGTGCCCACTCGAGCAGCATAGGTGTGGTCCCCAAGCACCGGGCAGAGCTGCAGAGCCATGTGCACCTGCAGTTGACTGGGAAACACTGAAAGATGGGTGAGGAGCCAGCTGTACTTCCTGACCAGGAAGGACTGTCCTCGTTCCCAGAGACTATGATCTGTGAGGTGACCTCTGCCTTCAGAGAGAGGCCCCTGAGCAGATCAGGACAGTGACAGCAGGCATCCCACCACATCTGGGGAGTCAACCCTACAGAACGGAAGCCCCGAGATGCTAGACTGTGGGTGTGCACCTAGAATTGCTGCCTTCCACTGAGCCCGCCCACCCCGTGGGGTCCACCAGATGCTCTCTGCCTGTTGCCGAGCTCCGTCTTCCTCACAGGCTTCATCTCCCCAGCAGACCCACCTGTCAGTGGCTGCAGCTGGACCAGGGCACAGCCACAGCCTGTGGCCATCACGTGAAAATGGCTGAGGGTCCTCTTGACGCCTTCTAGGATGTCCTTCCGAGATGGGGATGTCACTGGGACTGCCTAGGGAACCGGCCAAGAATGACTTAGCACACACCTAGGAGCCCCATCGAGCCACCCCTGCTGCTGGCTGACTTAGGACGGGGCCTCAGAACAGGCAGCAGTCACTTGCCTGGTAGGGGACAGGGGACCTAGCCACCCCATGTGCACAGTACAGACCCCTCTGTAAGGCAAAACCTGAAAGGGCTCCTCTTCTTTGACTCACAAGATCAATGCCATCCATGCGGTCCAGCTTCAGAGCCACGCTGACAGTCCCCTCAGAAGGCTCAGGGATGCCATCAGTGATTGCACTGAGAAAGAGAAAGGAGGTCTCAGAGCAGTTACCTGCAACTGTCCCTTGGCCCTGGGAGTCACCCCGCACCGCTCACCAGTAGGTGGCTGTGGGCCTCTGGGATCTCCTCGACTGAGCAAAGAACCTCTGCAGGCGGCTCGCTGTCTCGGGACAGCTGGAGAGAAGCACAAGCCCAGAGGCCTCCCTGGAAGAAGGGGACAGGTCTCAAAAATGAGGGCCAGATGGCTGCTCTTGCAGACAACCTGCATTCAGCACCCACATAGTGGTTCACAACTGCCGTAATGCCAGTTCCAGGAGATCTGATGCCCTCTTCTGGCCTCTTGGGGCACCAGGCATGCACTATGGTGCATAGACATACCGGCAGGCTAAACACGCACACATTAAATAAAAAACAAATCTTTGGTCTTTTTAAAGGCGACCTCTAAGGGGCTGGAGAGGTGGCTCAGCTTCAGAGCACTAGCTGCTCTTCCAGAGGACCCGGGTTCAGTTCTCAGCACCTACATGGCAACTCATGACTGTAACTCCAGTTCCAGGGAATCTGAGACCCTCAGACATACATGCAGGTGAAACAGCAATGCACATAAAATACAAAATTATAGCCGAGTGGTGGTGGCGCATGCCTTTAATCCCAGTACTGAAGAGGCAGAGGCAGGCGGATCTCTGTGAGTTTGAGGTCAGTTTGGTCTACAAGAGCTATTTCTAGGACAGCTAGGGCTTTACACAGAGAAACCCTGTCTAAAAAAACAAAGGACGAAACAAACAAACAAACAGGAACATCAGCTTAAGGTCAAACAGTAACGCCAGGGCTACAGTCCACACCTCCTAAGAAACAACCCATAAGACCTTTTCTGTGGCCCCCTGGAGAACTCAGAGCCAATGCCGGAGGGTCTACCATGTGCCAAGTACCTGAGTAGGACTTTTATATGCAGTGGGTGTAAGGTAACTCACTTTCCAGGTGCTCGTACAACTTGGAGCTCCCGGTGTCCAAGCCCCAGGGCCTGGCTCAGCTGCGGCAGCACAGAAAGCAATGTCAGCTCCCCGGGTCTCCCTGAGAAGAGGGAGCAGACATGTTGCCAGAGCGCCATCCAACCATCTCCTCCCGACCAACCTCTCCCTCCTTACCCGTGCCCATACCTGTCACAGGCAGACCCTGTGGCTTGTTGAGTGTCACCAGAGGTCCTGAAACATTCCGTAGATGTCACCAAAAGCAGGGCAGCCTGTGTGCATGCAGTCTCAGGGATCATAAGCTCCCAACCCCACTCCAAACTGAACTTCCTGCTCCCTGCACCCCAGGGCCTTTGTGCCTGCTGTTCTGGGCTTTCATTCACACTGGCTGCACTGTACCTTAGTATAATGCGTGTCCCTCCCACAGTCCTTGATGGTTTGGTTTGAGACAGGGGCTCAAACAGGCTGGCCTTAAACTCACTTTATAACTAAGTCTGGTCTTGAACTCCTGATCCTCCTTGCCTCTAACGCCCAAATCTAGAATTATAGGTGTGGTCACCACTCCCAGAAACAGCAGAGATCCATCATTTCTCACATCAGAACGCTTGATCTGTCAAGCCAGGAGCCATATTTCCCCCTATACCGTGTAGCCTCCTCATTGCCAAAAGAATTGAGAGGTTCAGAGAAATTGTTATTCCTCAAGGCGCACAGCACGCAGCTTACAGGCCCCAGTTATAACTAACGCCAAAGTTTGTTCTAACAGGAAATTAACGTCTGTTACTGCGGGTCTCAGAACGCAGGGGCGGTGTGAAGGTTTCCTATGCCTGTCCCCACTTAGGCTAGAAGGGGATGTGACTGCTGGCCGGGCTCCTGCAGCTACCAGAGTCAGACTCCAGGGGGTCGGAGGCTCAGGAGCAGTAGGCTCCCTCACCTTTCTGATCCACCACAGCTGCCCTCAGCACGTTAACCAGCTCTTCCACGCCGAGGTTCTCTGTCCGCAGAAGCCCCGGGAAGGGCTGGTCCTCCACTGGGTCCTTGCGCTTGCTGGAAGCTTGAGGTTGAGGCCGACGCCTGAGAAACACGACAGAAACCGGTACCTCCTCCGCCCATCCTGCCCAGTGCAGCCTTTTCTTACAAAAGCCTCAGAACTCCAGGACTCGGCTGGCAGTTGAGGTCCACAGGCGCCCAATACGACAGAAGAGGCATCAGCCGCTCAGAGCGCCATGGATGTCGTGTCGGGTCACACAGCACAGTTGGGATAAGAACCCACGTCCTGATATGAATGCCGGACCTGCCCCCCCCTTGTCCTAGCCTCCCTCCTACACGGAAGTGGAGTGTTATAATCACCGGGCCTCGGTGCCGAAGCCTGCATTTCTCCGCCGTAAGCCAGCACCGAACCTGGGTCGCCAGGTCCCCGAAACCCAACGGCAAACCCGTAAGGCGTCCATCCCCAAAGCAAGCACAGGCGCATGCGTACCCACGGGACTGCCCACCACGTGCATCCTCCGTGCGCAGATTGGTGAGGCAGGCTGTCAATCAGAGCACCGAACAGGCGGAGCTCTGCAGAGGGACGTCAGAGGATGTGCTGACGATGGGAAAGTGCCGTTTCGAGCTCTGCTTTGGGGGAAACCGAGGCACGAGGCGGGGTGGTTTACTCGCGGTAGAGGACATGTCTTAGAACAGAAGGAGGCGAGCTTGCAGATTGTCGTTTTAATTCTCGAGACCCTTAATCTGAAAACCTCCCTTGTAAAGGTGAAGCCCCACAGCCTTCCTGCCAGGACAGCTGCATAGCAATAGTCTGCCTCAGATGGTAGAGAGATTATCTAGGATGCACAAGTTCCTGGGTTCGATCTCCAACACCACACGAAGACCAAGATCACAGATACAGACTGAGTTGAGAGCGGTCTGGGATACATTAGGCCCTTCTATCAAAAGAAAAACAAGCTAGACCGGCTGTGGGGGCAGAGGCAGGCAGGTCGCTGAGGTTGAGGCCAGCTTGGTCTAGTGAGCGAGTTTCAGGACAGCTAGGATTACACGGAGAAATCCCCGATGGGTGTGAGCCTCACAATAAATCCCACACCAGCTAGTATGTTGTTAATCCCAAAGATGGGATGAGAAAGACGACCAACCCAAATCATGGCCAAATGGATGAAAGCAAGCTTTTAAATTCATGTACATGGCTGCCTCCCCCTAAGGCCTAATTTGGGAGGTCAGCATTGAATGTGAGGAAGACAAGATTTTTATAGCTCAAGGGTAGGAGGTTTCCAAATGGAGGACTTGGCAGGTAAAATTGGCAGGTTATAGGAGCAGAGCATAGCATCAGAAGTTAGAAGACCTCCTGAAACAAAGACAGGGTTGCAAGGTGGTCATAACAACAAGTGGACAAGAAGGTTGCCATAACAACCCTTTCGACACAAAGGTAGGGTTGTAAGATGGTAATTAACTTTTTGACACGATTGGGTTTTCGTGGAACAAGCAGTAAAGAACCTTTTGTAGTTAAGGTTACAGGTGAGACATAACCTAGTCTTTGAGAAACGGGTTTAATTATAAACAGGAATGAACCTAGTTTGTCTTTACTATAAAATGGCTTTTAAGCCTAAGATGGAGGCAGGCTGGTTCTTCATGTCTCAAAAACATCATACATAGACATAAATAAATCAACCTGGAGAGATGGGTCAGTGGTTAAATTGCTTGCTCTTTCCAGCACCCACATCCTTGAACTCACAGCCTCCTGCAGCTCCTGTCCAGTAACCCCTGCTCGAAGGGATTCAGTTCACACACAGACAGACACACATATATACATAATTAACAAAAAAAATACAGACCGGGCCTTTCATCCCGGCACCAGTCTACCTAGTGAGTTGCAGGACAACCAGAGCTGTATGACCTTGTTTTTTTAAAAAAGTTCCAAAATAAATAAATCCCACCACTTATTGAGTTACATTCCCAGACCTGAAAGGGCTTTCTGAAGACTCCAGCACTAGACTGTTACTTTTGGCAGAAAAATCAGAGGGGTGCAATAATCCCTCTCTCTTCCTCCACTTAGAGCACTGGTTCTCTACCTGCTGATCATGACCCCTTTGGGGGTCAAACGGCCCTTTCACAAGGGTCACCTAAGACCATTGGAAAATACAGATATTTACATTAGGATGATTCATAACAGCAGCAAAATTGTGGTTATGAAGTAGCATCAAAATAATTTTATGGTTGGAGGTCCCCACAACATGAGGAATTATATTAAAGGGTCACAGCATTAGGAAGGCCAAGAACCACGGATTTAGAGGCAGGTGCTGCCTCCAACACAGAATTTGGTCTAAGTTCTGTTGTGTCCTTTGCTGAGGTTTTATCTGGTTCTGGAATCCAGATAAATTCAATCTTCAAATTCATGTTAACGGTTGAAGGCTAACACAATTAGTACTAGATAAGATTATAAACTGGAGTTGGTGGCGCTTGCCTTTAATCCCAGCACTCAGGAGGCAGAGATAGGTGGATCTTTGTGAGTTCAAGGCCAGCCTGGTCTACAGAGCAAGTTCCAGAACAGACTCCAAAGCTACAGAGAAACCCTCTCAGCCCCCCCCTCATAAAAAAAGAAGAAAAGAAAATACTATGAAGGCATTGCTCCTGTAATGGCATTAACAACTTTCTAAGAAGGAGAGAAGAGAAAAGAGAACCTCTTCCTCGATGTGGAATGGCTTCCTCCATTTTGGGGTGCACCCTGCATATGCTAAGTAGATACTGGCTCCATGCTTGTGGACTCTGCAGCCTCTAGAACCATGACCCAGATAAACTGTGTGTGTGTGGGGGGGGATTTGTTTTATTTTTATTTATGTGTAAATGCCTGTGCATTTATGTAAGTGTTGCAGGTGCCCTGAAAGGCCACAAGAGGGCATCAGATCCTCCAGAGCTGGAGTTTCGGGCAGTTGTGAGCTTCCATGTGGGTGCTCGGTACTGAACTCAGGTCCTCTGCAAGAGCAGCAAGTGCTCTCCGCCACCGAGCCGTCTCTCCAACACCGTGTGTATATATATATATATGTAAACATATTATCAGTTTTCACAGTTTTGGGCTTGTTTAATTTTTCAGTACTGCAGATGGATCCAGGGCCCCACACTTGCCAGGCAAGCACTCTAACACGGAGCTGCACCATCAGTCTGGTTTCAGGTGTTGTGTTATAGCAACAGAAACAGACAAATGTGGAAGGAGCGATGACATAGCTTGTCTGAGAGGAGGAATACCTAGGCTACTTGCACAGCACATGGAGTTTATGAGGAGGCTTCCAGACTCGGTTGGAACCTAAGAACTCTGACCTATTGAATGAGTGAACCGTTCAGAATTTGAATGGGCTCTTGGGAAGTGATGGAACTGTGGGAGGTGGAGTCTGCTTGGAGGAAGTGGGTAGTTTGTTGCGGGTGGCTCTTCTTGGAGGCTAAGTCTTATGTTGGCTCCTTTCTGTTTGGTTCTATCAACTTCCTATCTACAATGCTATGAGCTACTCTGCTACAACCTGATGTGGGGCTCCTCTCTGTATGCTGTGAATATGCTTTATTGTCATTGGTTAATAAAGAAGCTGTTTCGGCCAATGGCTTTAGCTGAATAGAGCAAAGCAGAAATTCCAAGCAGATAGAAGAGGAAAGAAGGCAGAGTCAGTGAGAGGCCATGTAGCTGCAGCAGGAGACAGAGGCACTGGAACTTTGCCCGTAAAATACAAGCCTCGTGGTAAGATATAAACTAATAGAAATGGGTTGATTTAAGATGTAAGAGCTAGCTAGAAATATGCTTAAGCTATTGGCCAAACAGTATTGCAAATAATATAGTTTGTGTGATTATTTCAGGTCTGTGCAGTTGGAAACAAACAGTCTCCGCCAACAATGACCTCCTCGCCCAATAGATTGCACCCTCTATTAGTCAAGCCAGGGTCTTACTGTGTAGCCTTGGCTGGCCTAGAACTTACAGAGATCTGTTCTTCTGCCTTTTGAGTGCTGGGATAAAAGGTGTGTGCCACCACCACCTTGCCCAGAGGACAACTTTTAAGAGTTAGTTCCATCCTGTAATGTGAATTCTGGGGAACTACACTTGGCAGCAAGCGCCTTTTCCTGATAAACTCTGTGGCCAGACCCTATATGATTAATCTCTTCTTTTTTTTTAATTTCAATTTCCTGTGCACAAGTGTTTTATCTACATACATGCAGACGTGTGACCTGTGAGCCTGAGGCCTGAGGTCAGAAGAGGGCATCAGATCCCCTGGAACTGGAGTTATAGGTGGTTGTGAGTCACTGTGTGGGTGCTGGGAAAGGAACCCAGTTCCCTGAAAGAAGCAGCTCTCTCAATTGCTGGGCCATCTCTCCAGACCCCCGCATGGTTAATCTTAGACGTTTTGGTTCTATCTTGCCTTTGTTTTTTGAGACAGAGTCACACTACATAACCCCAACTGAACTGGAACCTGCTATGTAGACCAGGCTGACTCAAATGTGTGTCAATCCTCCTGCCTCTGCTTCCTAAGCACTGGGATTATAGGCATACACCTAAATCTGTTATTTTTGATGGCGGGGCGGGCTTGTACATATATAAAGATCAGCGGACAGCTTCTGGGAGTCCATTCTCTCCTTTCGCCAATGGGTTCTAGTGACTGAATTCAGGTTCTTTTGACATCAAGCACCTTTATCTGCTATATCTTGATTTTTTAAAAAATGATTTCTTATTATGGGGCCTGGGAATACAGCTCGGTGGTAGAAGAGGGCTTGCCCAATGTGTGTTAGATTCTTGACTCAAAATTGTTGGGTTTTTTTGTTTGTTTGTTTGTTTTTGTTTTGTTTTCCGAGACAGGGTTTCTCTGTAGCTTTGGAACTAGGTCTCGTAGACCAGGCTGGCCTTGAACTCACAGAGATCCGCCTGCCTCTGCCTCCTGAGTGCTGGGATTAAAGGCATGCGCCACCATCACCCGGCTTCAAAATTAATGTTTTTAAAACCAACCTTTAAAGAATATATCTGGGCATGGTGGCACACAGCACTAATCCTAGCGATTAAGATCTCTTGAATTTGAGGTCACCCTACTCTACAAATTCTAAGACAGCCAGGTCTACAGGTCTGTGCTATATGCACAAGGCAGGAAGGGCTGGTGGGTGACAAACTTGGCAAAAAGGAAAAAAAAAAAAGCAAGCAAGTGGTTTCACCTTGTCTGGCATCACCTAGAGTGTGTGACCGCTCTGTCTCAGGCTGTGGGTGTTCCCGAGGCCTCCTGGGAGGTCTCCTGTGCATCTCAGAGCAGCTTGAGCAAGGATTTAAGGCAGGACTAGGCAAAGTGCACAGCTGCAATCCCAGCCCTGGAGAGGTGGAGGCTGAAGGGTCAGGAGGTCGGCCTGGGCTGTGCGAGACTGTCTGAAATATATATGTGTAAGGGTCAGTGAGATGGCTCGGCCGGCAAGGAGGACTGAAGCCAAGTCTGACACCTGAGTCTGATCCCCAGTATCTGCACGCTGGGGGGAGA